AATGCAACACACTATATACCTCTCCACTAATGCCTAGAATCAATGCAACACACCATACACCCCTCTACTAATGCCTAGAATTAATGCAACACACCATACACCCCCCACTAATGCCTAGAATCAATGCAACACACCATACACCCCTCCACTAATGCCTAGAATCAATGTAACACACCATACACCCCTCTACTAATGCCTAGAATTAATGCAACACACCATACACCCCTCCACTAATGCCTAGAATCCATGCAACACACCATACACCCCTCCACTAATGCCTAGAAACAATGTAGCATTTGACTTGCTACATACCTTTAACTAATGCCTAGAATCAAAGCAGCATTCTATTGCTGCACACTGTGCCGATAATCACTAGAATCAATACAGCAATCAACTCACTATTGACACAGGCATATCACTGCACCATTTTTTGAGCATCTCAAGTCCAGAAATAAAATTTGAATTATTAATGGCCAGATATTATAACAATCAGGCAAAAATAAATTCTCTCCTCAAGCGTTAAGCATGAAGTTGAATTATTATTCATAACCACACACTTGTGCCTACTTCACAACCATAATTTTTATGTATATGGTTTTCATGTATGTTTCATACGTTGTTTGCTCATTATTGTTCATGAATAGACCCTTAACAAATCACCACAAGTTCCCTTTTTTCATCACAAATTCACAAAATAGTACTGTTTATAAGTTCGCATTTTTCTTAAGAAGATTGGGACAACACAAGCCAAATTTTTTGAGTAAAAACTGAACATTGACTCAAATTTTGTCTACAGGCTCCAAATTTAGGGTTTATTTCCAGGAATATTGAAGATTATAGGAAAACATTGCAAAAAAATGTGGGCGAGAAAGTCTGGTGGTGAAAAGGTTGAATATGCAATTGGCATAAATTTATAAACATTTGAGTGTCAAAGTCATGTTTTAGTCATTCATGAACAAATTCTTCCTTATTTAAAAAAATGATGAAGAAATTTAAGATGAGGTAATTATGTCCATGTGGTAAAAAAATAGTAAAAATTAACAAATTATTACACTAACATTTCTGTGAGAAAATTGATCACATCACTGTATTAATGATAGTTTAAAACAGTGATTATTTTGACCATAGAAGCACCCAGGTTTTGTAATAAGTACATGTGCTACCATACTAATAGAGCAAATACGGTATTGAATTTTTTTCAAACAAATTTCTCTGATAAAATATTTGTATTCAAAGTATCAAAATTTATTTAATCCAGTTTGCCTCCCCCCTCTCTCCCCCATATTGCTTGATCTCACATATCAAATCAATAGATTCCCTGTGATTACAATCTGACATCTGGTCCTGTCTTTTCAATAGTAGACAACTGAGACAGGATATGATTATGTGTATACTTCTAAGTACATCCTACAATTATACCATTCATGTCTTCATTCATTGTGTACACATGTTCTTTTATATTATTAGTTCAATAAACTACATGCGGTTACTGTCGCATTACTATTCACTGCTTCACGCTTTGATATACTGCGAAGAGCCCCTCAAAAATATTCAAAAATCTCCTCATCCCGGGACTCCCTAGCTTAGTCAATAAAAACATCTACATTCCATCATACATTAGTCAGATTTGAAAATGTCAATAAAATTCTTTTAAGTTGACATTTGATCAGATCATTAGAATTAGTAGAAATATGATAATGAATGATGTAACTGTATATAATCGGTAAACTCCATAAAGCACAGTACAGGGTGAAAATTAAAAATAACTTAATTAATTTTTAAGTAGGATATTGTTGAATACTTAATTTTTTCATGCAATTTTATTTTGGCTGAAGAGATAAAAATGGGGAAAAAATTAAATTAGGTGAAAATACTTCATTATTTCTATACTTTATTGTTTCTATTAAGAGCACATCTCCAGTATAAGCGCGTGTAAGCAGTGAATTGTATTGATGGTATACTGGATTATTCAAATAGCAGAGACATACTGATGTCATATATGTAAGCACATAACTCGTACCATATACGTCTTTTCTTGCACGTAATTTATGAAAAGTCGATCAAACAAATTTATTTCTATTTTTAGAAACTTTGTTGAGTGGAGCTTATCATATGAGTGATTGTCTGTCACCCGTCGTCAGGTGTTCGTCGTCGTCCGTGTCAACTTTTTACTTTTTCGACTTCTTCTTGAAAACTACAAGCCTGAATGCTTTGATACTTGGTGTCTTGGGTGGTCCTCTTTAAATTTGTTCATTCTGTAATGATATTTTTGATTCTCTAATTTTGATGAATATTCTTGTAATTTTTGGTAAAAAGTGATATTTTCGACTTATTGTTAAAAACTAAAAGTCCAATTGCTTTGATATTACATATATAGATACTACATGTGGACCTCTCTAAGATTTGTTCATTTTGTGGTGATACCTTTATTCTCTAATTTTAATGAATATTTTTGTCTTTTTTGGTAAAAAGTGATATTTTCGAATTCTTGTTGCTTTGCTACTATACATATTGTTCATTTTCTAATGATATCTTCAGTTCTTTAATTGAAATGTGCATTGCTATCTCAGCCGACAGACTGCTTGTTTACAAAATAATTAATGAAAACTCAGCAACAACAAAAATAACTATGAAAATATGTTTCCTCATTATTTGCAATTTAATTTGTGTAAAATTACTAGTCTTAGCATTCAAACTCAATTTGTAATTTTCAGTAAAAAGAAATCTCTGCTGAACTGAATATAGAGTATGTACTTTTAGTGACAGGGACTCACCACTATTAATTGTTTACTCATTTTAGTGTCTGAAATTTGTTTTTGTCAGTAGTGTAGAACATTTAACCTCTTTGAGTGCCATATGATATTCTCTTCCTCAAAATGGGGTAAATATGTTCACATATTCTCTAATTTTCATTGAATTCAATCTTAATTTAGGACCAAACAGTGGCATTGATTGCTTCTAGTTTTTGATAAGCAAATTGTTCACATATTTGATGGCAACAAATTATAAGTGGAACTAGTTTGTGGACGATGCCTGAAATTTACTTTTTCACTCCGAGGGCTAAAATACTGCTCAATTAGTGTGAACAAGCAAAATTTGTGAAATTGAAAAACAATTTTTTTTTTTTGCGCAATCATAATTTGATGGTTAGGTTTTCTTTAATTGCCTTTGTTGTGGAATGCACCTACCCAGTATAATCAATCTTGATAGGATTCATGGACTTTAATTATTCAAACCGCAAAATTTACTACTTGTGAAATTACACCGTATGCAAAATCTGTGAGGGGCTTTTATGATTATTATCAAGGATTTATTTTTTATTAGAGGTGATCACTGTATACAGGTGGTCTTCATGAGTTTATCACATTATTTTGAGTAGGTCCTTACCACCAGAAATTAATGAGTTTTCCTATTTTGTCTTTGTTTACATATATACTTAAATCACAGAAATCGGAAGTAATTAAACTTTATTATATTTATCAAGCAATTCTTGTGTTTTATGATTAGTTTAAAGTAGTTAAAAAAAGGTCATTGCAATGCTGACTGTTTTTATTCTATCAACTTTTGTCACATGGTAAACTTGCATATTTTTTCAACACTTTTAATCAACGCTATGGGCAATGAGTAATTATGTCTAAAACAACTGAAAAATTGTAGAAAAATGTGCAATGTTTGGTGTTCAGTTAAGGGTTAAAGTTAATAGGCTAATGTCATCCCTGCTTTTTAATTTGCCTGTAACATCAAAGATATAAGGGAAAGGTATATTAAGGGGAACATTTCTGTCCGGCATTGTTGTTGTCATCGTTGGCGTCATCGTCATTGTCGGCGTCTTAATATAAGGTTATTACGAAGATACCTCAAAGTATGCACGAAGACAGTACAGCGGCAGTATCGACCGACGTGCACTGATCACTGGTGATACACATTCAAAGGTCACTGATCTCAGTTGAAATATACATTGTTGTATGTGTGCGATGAAGAAGATCATTTATCTTGTAATAATATCCTTGGTAATGTATCTCCCAAATCCCATGGGAATACTATCTATACTTGGTTTCAAAACCAACTCATGGAAAGATTTTTTGCACAGTCTGATACACATCTGCAAACCTACCAATAAAATTAGTGTGAACCATTAATTTTTTACACCTGTACAAAAAACTTGGACAAAAGCCAAGTTTGATAAAGGGAATAATATTATATAACAAAGGGCAAGGTCACCAGAGTTGAACTATGTTTTTACCTTGGCACGACATGTACTAATTACCATTGGTGACTTGATCGTTACCTTCCAATCACCAAAAAAATGACCTGGTTAAAGCTTGGAAATGTCTATGAAGTTTGTTCTTGTTGATTTGTGCAACAGTCTCAATCACC